TCCTATTGTGATTTCATGAAAGAAAATTTATTCCAACCGTCTTTATTAACAACGCTAATTTCATTCATGCTGCCGGATATTAAAATGTTTAAAATGAGAGTTACGTAAGATGATTAAGAGCATAATCAATGGTTAAGAAACCCCTCTTAATAGCAATATAAACAATTACAGAATAAAACCGAACAGTCATTACATTAAGTGTTCAAATTTTTCATAGCTGCGTAAGCATCTGTGATGCCGCAGTTGAGAGGATCAGAAGGAACAATATCATATCCAATTACATAGTCAAATAATACGTCTAAAATCGTGTTTACTAACGGTATTTTAGTTGATAAGGCTTGAACTACAAGTCATTGAAGGTTATTATAGATTATATTTACTAATTATATAAGTATTAGGATGATTTCAACCAGCACCACGTTGAAGTGAAATAGGCCTTTTCTATAGAGTTATTTGGATTTATATATCTTAAAATAAAAAGAAGAATAGATAGACATTTATATAAAGTTACCCTCACAACCATCTGGAATCATAGCAGATGAATGTGAATAGAACGCCGTAATGAAGGCACCAATTATATCTAAAAATTTAAAATGAAATCTAACTGGATTAATCCTGTAAGTCGAATAGTTGATGGGGATAGTTTGCGAAAGCAAAAATACAAATTTTAGAAGACGAACATTTGTTATTCTTTGTTCCGTTCACACCACGAAGTGAAATTGCAATAATTGTCTTCTCACTTGCCGACAAGGAAGAAAACAATTCAAGGCTTTGCTACTTTCCTTTTGCCAATGATTGCAAGAAATTGTATTGCTTTTCGATAAGAATAGGAAGAAATGAATGAAAATATGTAAAACAAAAAGGGGTCACATTAAAATTCAGTAAAATCTCGCATTCAAGGCATTAAAACTTATTTAGACTTACATGTTCGATGGCCGATAGATGTATAAGATAGTATTAGCGCGGATGCCGCTACTTCTTAGATACTTAAACCAAAGAAGCCTGGATGTAATGATTACATTTTCTATCTGAATGATTTTTAACTAGGCACAGAATTGACCTTAATATTGTTTAATGTTAACACAATATAAAAAATAAAGTGGACAACACTCAAACAGACACCTGAAATCCTTGTGTTGTTTACAAAACTGTTTCCATTTTCAGGAGAACTATAAATTCAACATTAATTTGAGCGATTTCCATATTTCAAATAGTAAATAATAGCTTCGGTTAATCGGACAGATAATAATAATAATAATTATTATTAACGCACCCGCAGAATTAATCAGAAGGAACATTATCAGGAATTCCAACGATAAATAAAAAATAAAGGAATAAGTAAGTTCTTCACAATAAATTATTATTTTGGAAGATTGAAGTAATTCTGAGCGCTCATTTATTTCAAAAGTTAAAGTAAACGAAAAAATTTGTCATTTTATAACTGCCGAACTAACGTTGAATACATATTAAAAAATAATTGATCTGGGCATATCTTGTAGTGCAATATAATGTTAATATACAATTTCATCTATGGGTAGCTAGTAAATAGTTTAAATCTCTCAATGCAGCTATAGCATTGGCTAGTTTATTTTAGGCGCTGTCTTTCTTCTATAGGTGTGGAACATGCCTAGAGTTTTTAAACCAAAAATCCGTCCGGTTATAAATAAAACAAATAAGTATGTTTTTTTCTCATAACTTTATTCTTGGTAGAAAAACTGACCAAGCCACGGAGAACCCTGTTTCCTCCCCTGCCACAATAATTGCAGATGAAAGTCAACACAAATCACCCGATAAGGTGGAGAAATCGATCGAAATACCAACTGAAACTGAAGTAGTGGTCGAGGCAATTGCGACAGGAAAGCCAAATTCTTCAGTAAAACTTTCTCCACCAAAGAAAAAAGCTCAGTCACCTATAAAGATATCCACTCCCAAAAAGATTACAGCTATTGTGTCATCATCTCAGCAAGTCTTTAGGTTTGTTTATTTAACCCTTATTTAGGTCAGATACTGTCGACATTGATGATCCTAATTCGAAAATTCCCACACCTAAGACGTCAACCAAGTCAAGTCCTATGAAATTGTTTGCTGTCAAACGTGTATGTTTATTTTTATAATCTTAATGGTTTCTATAGACTCCAAGAAAACATCAAGTATACGGGGACAAACCACCTCCAGCAGACGTACCCCTCGATCGCTCCACTGTGACACTTCGTTCTCTCTTAAATTGGGTTCCCGTCAATAAACCACCCCCTAGAATTCGAGACATTAATCCTAATCCGCCATCATCTAAAATAGACTCGTCAATTCAACAAAAGTCTCCTACTCCTTCCCTAGTGATAAATAAGAAGCAAGATGAGCCTCACATCGAAGATCAGGATACTTCTAATGAGGCTATCGATCCACTAGCTCCACAATTATGCCTTGATGCTGATGGTAACATTGTTCTTGACGAACGGAGTCTCCAGGTTGAAAAACCGGTTGATGAGTCGACTATTGCCAGAATACACGTTGCTGAGGAAGCAGGTCTCTATGGTACTACTTATAACAGCTTCCGTCGGAAACCCATTCAACGTCGTGGCCGAAAGTGGACTGAAAAAGACACGACGAGGTTTTATCGAGCTCTGAGTACAATTGGGACGGACTTTTATTCAATGACTAAACTTTTTCCTGATAGATCCAGAAATCAGCTCTTGGTAAGCTATTATTTTTTGTATTATTGCCACTTAAGGGTAAAATTGTATGAATTTTTAATCTAAGTGTTTTCGAATACTAGGTTAAATATTCTTAGATACTTTGCACCGTTTTTAACTTCCTCTTCTGTATACACAGTTTTAATAGAATACTGTGAATTCATTTTTTACCTTGAGTTCCTGTCTCTCCTATTTACTTAGTGGTTCAACTGTATAACATTGTTCTTCAAGTTTTTATTTCGACTGTAAATGGAATCATTATAAGATGTATTATGAATCACCAGCATGAGAATGTTTGTAAAATGTCTTTGCAATATCTTATTTGGTCATCAACACTTTGCTTGGATTGCTTCTTCTTAGTAGCCAAGGCACTTACAATTCATCTTATACCTTTTTCTGTTCAAAGTATATTGTCGTTGATTTGTATGCTACATTGTTTCTCATTGTATGGTACAAGTCTAAATTTTGGAGGGGTGGGGAGCATGAATAGGTCCTCTAGCCTTTCCACCTTCATTGCTTACAAAATGCGCTGTTTTGTTGCCCTATTAGTTAGAGAGTAGTACTGTAGTAAGAAAATCCAACCCCCAGATATGATAACGGATGGATAGTAATATAAAACTAGGAACGAAATTTAATCACGTGAATTTTAATGAAAAATCTATTAGTAGCCCTTGTCTTTCATCATTCCTTCATTAGTGAACTTTGGACCTTCAGTCACTCGTATAGAATTGAGAAATTCTGCAGATTTCGGCCTTCTCGTTTCTGTTATTTTCATCATAGCAAAGTTGAAAGGCGATAATGAATACTATAAGAATCCTTACATTCGTAGCAAAGGCTCCACCAAGTAAATCTTTGGTCCTCACTGGAAATTATGGAATTGTCATCCTTTAAAAATGTCCCTATTCAAATTTAAATTAACTTTAAGACTATTTTTGGTTTCCATTCCCTTTTATATTTGATGCCTTGTGTTTTCCATTCAGCTCCTCATTTTAATTATGTCAAAATGTGTTTCTTACGTGTAATCTTTACCATTAACTGTTTATGTTCTAATTTTAGAAAAAGTTTAAACGTGAAGAGAGACTTTTCCCGCATCTTGTGGATGACGCTCTGAGTAAGCTTTAGTTCTATTTTCATTTTACCGTTATCTCTTCCTTTTTATTAATATTCTCATTCTTTTGTGCAGAAAACAAAAGGAATTACGATATCACCGTATTTTACACCTCTGAAAGCGAAGAAGAAAATTACGACAAACTCACCAAAGAAGCTATTAAGGCAAAGAGAAAGAGTAGGTTTTCTGCTTATCTGCATGCTCATTAACATTTAAGTCACTTGGATTTATCGCGATTTATTTTATTTTGAAATTTTAATCCTTGAAGTTTTGTTATGCTGCACTGTTTAACCCACATTTGCAATGACTAGATCTGAGCTTCCCTTAGAGTATTATCGGTGGCGTTTTGGTTATCACATGTGCTATCATTACGCCATTGCATGCACACCGTGCTACTAAATTACCCGAAGGTTTGAAGTATGGGAAATAGGGTAAAACCTGCTCACTGCTCCTATTAATCCTTTAATGCCCGAATTATTTTTCTGAGAGTGCATTCAATCGCACTCGCGTGTTTCACAGCAGACTGATGTCGATGTGATTTGTTTTTGTGATATCAAGTGAAGGCCACGGAGATGTATTGAACATGTTTCAAACTGCGATAGCGCCTTCTGTTACGAGTCAAGTACCAATGAAGCTTATTTTGAAGGCGGATCATATAGTCCTAAGGGAGTTGAAGTAAGGCAAAGAGTTAATAGCAATTCTCAAGCCTATTTGGGGGGGGGGATGGTCGTTTTCCTGTTTTCTTGCAGAAAATAATGGACTTAGCTTTCATAACGACTTGACAGTACTTCATAATTTTCCCATTGGCTTTGAACAACGAATTGAAATTAGCATTTCAATTCAGTTAAAAATTGAAGAGCTCGAAGAAGCTTTAATCTACTTTAGGTTTTTAGATTCATTCTCTTTTCTAAATGTGCATTTCAAGTCTTTCCTTCATCATAAGTGCTTTTTTCTCAGTAATCCAAATTGATTAAGTCAGTCTCAACTCCAGTACCACTTGCTGATTCTGATGTTAACGTTGTTGTGGTTGGAATTTATTTTCTTCATGTCTTTCACTTAAGATCTTGATTCCTTTGTCGTCTTAGAGATTATCGAAATCAGACAAAGAAGCAAGTTATATAAAGTTATATCAAATGGCAGGCGTTTTGATAGTTACCCTTAGCCCTTTAGTTGACTTCAGGCTCAACAGAGGGGAAGGAACATCAAAGTGGCAAAATGTCGATAGGGGAGACAGGATAATGATTCACAGATGTGAAAGAGACATACAGTGGGATCATAGTAGTTTGAAGTCAAAAGTTAACTGCCGGTTTGTAATCTTTCTTTGCCGTATGGGTATACGTTGTCCAGGATGCACCATGTGGAGGTAAGTCTATTGCACACCCCGTACAAAGAAGCAAGTTGAGTTGCAGGATTTAGATCCTGAAATGGAACAGATACACTTAATGCTGAAGGTTAATTGACATTTTAAATGTTTGAGGACGCTAAGTTCAATGCAGTTGAGTTTTGGCGGCTGCTATAAAATAGGTACTTTTAATGCCTGTTTGATCCTAGTTATCTATTTGTTCCAAGTTAAGCTGTAAACTCTTCTCTGTGCAATTTATTCTGGTATAATATGGAATTCACTGTTTTTTAAAGAAGTATCTATAGGTGTCTGGCTATACAAGGCGGTTTCGTGTATAACTGCAATTATTTTCGCATTTAATTAAGTGAAAGTGGTCTTCATCGATCATCTATTAAAAAGAAAGTGGAGGGGGGGGGGGGGACAACACTTTTCAATAACATTGAAGCTCGATGGCCAATTTTCGAAACCCGCCTTTCAGTTGATCTGTCTATTTCCTTATATCAGGCAAAAGCAAGCGTACGTCCGAACCCAAGCCTCGTTCCACTTGCGACATTTCCGCTTTGATAGATGAAGTTCTTGCCAGGCACGCAGCCACTGAAAATAATGCTGACAACAATATGGAGGAAAGGGAGGAAGAAGACGTTGGTGAAGGCGAAACTGGCAGTGATGAATCAGAGGAAGAAGTGATTCCGCTTAAAAGACCTCGAATGAGTCCCGAAGATCGGAGGAGGAGCCTTGAGAAGTCCAATCGAGTTAGTTTGAGTGACATGATTGAAAAGACAGCTGCTGAAGTTGCTGCTTCTGATAGCATTTCTCAATGATTTTATTAATCATGTATAGTTTCTTTTTAAATGTATGTTTAATATGTATAGAATTAACTAACAGATACTTTGACGACACTGATTTGGTTTTTTATTCCTGCTATAAACGTGCCTGTGTACTCTCATTCTAAAGTGAAATAGAACGGGAATAAATAACTTCTCAAGTGCATTAAGTTAAGCAATAGAAAACTTGAAGTGATGGCCATTTACGCTGTTGTAGTACCAGGATTCAGATTTTTTCGGTGATCTATTTTCCTACTTGATATCTTCAGCCTATAGTTAGCGGAAACTCAGAGATAGAGTGATGGAAGGGCCTTTAACTCTTAATTAATTGGGCAATTGGCCCAAGGCACTATATGATCCATCTGTCGATGAGAGTAACAAAACATGATTCATATTCATGACGCACTACTACATTGCCCCCATTTGCTTTCGAATAGCATTTGGTTCATCTAAAAAGCTAGACAATCGAATTGTGTGGATATATCGCAAGTTGTATAGAAGACCTGGATAGTCTTTTTAAATTTGTCAACCAACGTGACGGAAGAAGACAGATTTAGAAGAAGCGAAAAATAGCAAGCTTCGAATACGAGTTAATTTACCTCATAAACAATGGTAAAGGCGAATGTAAATATGCCAGACTACAGGGCCGGGTCGTTGTCATTGTTTGCTTAAACATCTGCTGGCTGGTTATTAGAAGGGAAGATGTAATTTGGTGATAAATTCACTCTAATTGGTTAGTGAGATCATGAGTACACATCGTTCTGTACAAACATGGCGGCCTCTTCATACAACACCGATTCAAAAACAGTTATAACAAGAGAATAAGTAGTGACGTGGAGGTATGTCTAAGTTACACACTCTCTGGGTTTATAAAGGTACTTACATGGATGAAAGTGGACCACAAAAGACCTGCCTATTTTCCCCAATCGTCGAGATCTTGCAGTTGCTTTTTTCTCAAAGTATTAGGATTGGCTAATGTGGGATTAGAAGAAATGGAACCTGCCATAACCATATCATTCATATTTCCTCCCTATTTCGATTTATTAGAGCTGTTAGTCTTTGTAGGTAAAAGTTGCACAATACAAGAGCCTGACTTTAAGAGAGTGAGTTTTTATCGCTGCTCTTCTTGAACTTCACTTGTTCTTATTTTAAACTGGAGCAAATACTTATAGGATTTAAGCGCCCGATATCCACACAAGAGGTGTAGAGTAAATCAAATGAAATAGCTGAAATATTTTAACATTCTGACGCAGCTAATAGCAATCGAACGAAATAGTCAGTAAGGATAAACCCCTTCTTTCTTTACAAATACCAGCGACACAAATTTCTGAAGGTACTTGAACAAAAAAAACATAGGTAAATGTGGTATAATGTTCGTAGCATATTACAGATGTTGGTCATTTCACAGAAGTGCGAAGAATTTGGAAGTACATATGGGGAGAATTGGCAAGGTTAAGCGATTTCAAGTTTATGAAGAGATAATTCCAGAATGCGTGGTAACCAGATTCATGAGATTTGCCAAATTATTAGACAATTGATTAATCGCCTCATATCGCGAAACTTCAGGTTTACCATCTGTGGTTGGTTGAGGGGAAAGGATGAGAACCTATAAAATAAATACCCGCAGATCAATTTACCAAGCAGAATTAAGTACTTTTGTGTTCATTCATCTCATTAGCTAGTGAATTACCTGCTCAGCTTGATCAATGTAAGCCTTCAAATTCCCATCTAGAATGCATTCAACTAGGAGATTTTCAACTTCTTTAGGTCCTAGACCGATATCCAGGGACTTAGCAACAAAACTTAGGCGAACCCTGGAGTAAGGTCGTAATAGACGAGTCAACATTTCTGTTCGGAAGTTGCGCACAAGGTTCACAATATGCTCACGGATAAACTCATCACCCATAATGGATTCCTGATCTTCATGAAGGATTCGTTCAAATGCCTTCACGTCGTTTTGTTGATAAGCAGTTACTAGATTTGTAACCGCGAGGATTTGTGGGTCATTTTTGTAGGGTTTCGTTTCCTGTAAGCAAAGAAAAGATCAAGTATTAGAAGAAGAGTAATAACGTAAGTTGCAACACTTGCAATCATTTGCCTGCGGCATAATTCAATAGGATCACGTTTCAGATGAAAATAATTTTAACACTGACAGCTAACCGTCTACAGAACCTGATATGATCAACTTAAACGTATGCTTTGATGGCTTCCAATAACAAAATGATAATGGGCACATCACTTAAGAAGATACAACTTTCCATCTTATAAGAACTAAATATTAGGGTAATGCATCGTCCAATTTCGAAAATTCGGGTACAGAGGTGGCGGTTGCAGTGCAGCTACAAGACATCTACTTGAAACCAAAGAGGGGGAACGTCGATCGATTGACCAAAAGAAAAGCATATAAAAGCATATAAAAGAAAAGCATATAAATGCACCACATGCGTAACTACAATGAAAGGGGATGAACTTAATTGCATTAGAAAATAAATCTTTTTATTTTTCGGTTTGCTATCCAGTCATAGCAACTTTACGGCGGAACTTTGGCCTATTGAGAAGAAAATATGGCGTTCCCGATGCTGTCATGTTTGAACAAAGAAATCTCATATGCACCCATCCTCGTTGGGAGAAAAAGGGGTCATGAGCGCAGAGTCAAATCCATAGTCCCTGGATTGCTGGACAAACTCTTCGTTGTATTTTAATGACTAAGTTCCGTGTCAATGACACACAACCCAAATAAACGTATTCCATGCCACACGTCTGTTTCCTCTATAGCTTTGTAGTAGCTTAGATAACCCTGGGAACTATGCCAAACCGAAGGATCTTGCCAGAGATTTGTGAGCATAGGTCAAGGCTTATTAACGTATCAATCCGTTACAGATATGTTCAATAAAAGCATAAAACAAATGAACCTTATTGTTGTCTTGACTCCCAACGCCCTTTAAGTACTTATCTTGGGACGAGGGCCAAATTAACTTCAAACCTTCTATACCACCCATTTCATATTCTATTACCTGAGCGAAAAAAAAGGAAATCGTAATATCCTCCAAGCTTATAACTATGTAAGGACAAGTTGAAATCGTAATCAACAAACAGGCAACAATTAACACAATCTTATTACGAATGTCATTATTTCAACGATAAATGACATTTTAAAATATCCTAATAACCATTATGTCAGTAAATCCTACTTTGATTAAATGGATACAAAGTAAACAGTGAAAACGGAAATGACACATCTTAGGTGCCCTAACTGGGAATTTAGAAAGGAAACCGAATAAGTAAAATTACAGGATATTCGCGATATGAACAACGCAAACTTACCGGAGAATCGAATGGATTAATACCAGTTTTTGCAAGCATGCTCGCAAGAACAAGGTATTTCAAACACTGAGTTCGTCTCGGAGACCCAGACTCATCGTAGTTCTTAAAAGCCTCAAAAAAGTCCAAATGGGCACTTTGATAGTTCTCCATTCTCATATGCATTTTCCCTCCACATTCCCTTATAACTCCCATAATCAGAGGATGAGGAATGGCTGATTTAATTTGAAGGGATTTGTCATACAAATGCTTGAGTTTTTTGTTATTCTTTTGAGCGGTATACATTTGGATTTCCAGAGCGTAGATCTCCAACAACTGGGTACCCTTTTTGAGATCTTCTTCACCAGTCTCTGTTAAACATGACTCCCGAAGTTCACGAATGATCCGTTGAAGTTGTACATAGTCACTCTGTTCAAGGAATAACTTTCCCAATTTCGAGTTCGTCTTAAACCATAGCCTATCATTTTTAGCATCTTTTAAGGCATTAAGAGTTGTAGTGTAGAAATTCTGGAGAATATTCATTTGCTTCGAGGTAGACACATAGTCAAGAATTGAATTAATAGACTTCTCAGAGGTGTTACGAGTTACTGCAGATTTGATATAAGTGAGAAGATTACGATAGTTTTCCATCATGTCGTTGTATAAACCAAGACGGAACTGAAGTTTAATCATTTGCTTAAGTGCACGGAAACCCCAATCACCCTTAGTTCCACTCTCTGCCTCAAGTTCGAGAACTTTTTTGAATTCATCGATAGCAGCATCAGGATTATCATCCTTGCGTGACTTGGCGTTGTAGTATTGATTTTCGAGATTCACGTCCGGTTCGGAGTTTTCATCTGATGAATAGGTTACTGAGAGGTCAACATCATCAATGAACATATCATCATCCCCAAAAGACATTATTTTCTAAAATATCAATTGAATGACCCTTTCAAATGTAATAAAGACAAGAACAGACGAATACAGGCGGCTACGAATTAAAACAACTGAATGAAACGACTTGACTTTGAAATAAATCAAATTAGATTGAGAAGAAAGATAAAATAATGTAGATAATAAATGTAATACATTTTAAGACAAATACTACCTTCGCGAATCAAGATATACGTGAGGCTGGAATTTATAACTTAGCCTAGGTTGTACAAATGGGATTGCAGCCTTGAACGTACAAAATTAAACTTTATCTTTCGAATATGATAATTTATAGATAATAACTATTGCTAAATAGAATTTTCGTTCCATTTTTATATATTCGATAGCATGAGTTTGCTTTTTTGCTAGTTTGTTTCACAAGAGAAATCCTATTTTTTCTTGGTGACATAAATAACCCCTCTTCTCATTCTCACCTACAGTTTCTACTGTTTGATGTCTCTTCATTTGCTTAATGTGAAACATAACGATATTGTAGATTATCCCCTCTTTCTCCTTAAGGGAGTACTTGCATGCTCTTCTGGTTGCCACCCCATCATCACAACCGTTAATAAATGCACAGTCTTTCGAAATTCTTCAAAACTAGCAATTGAGGTGCCCTTTAAAGCACTGATTCCCATTCGAATAGGTGAAAATGACATAAAAATTAGCTGCTCCCATGCTGCGTACTATCTTACCATTAAAAGAGCTCCACCAAATGATAACAGGTCTTATATTCGCTGTATTTATGTGGTTTTTGATAGTCACGAAGGCTCGTTTCAAGCACCTAAAGACGTACCATTTGGTATCGAGAGCGCTTGTCATCGTCTTGGTTTAGCAGCACGATTACTTCAGACCTTAACTGCAGAAACCATATATTCTGAGACTGGTCATCGCCGAACATTTATCTTCGCTGGAGACTTGCCATCTTCTCACTATCTTCCCCGTACTTCTGCCTCATATTCATCCGCAGCTGTATGGTGCGTAAAATCCAAATTAAACTATCTAGAAGCGCAAAGATTACCCCCTATTGAGCTATGGGAGCATATTGGAAGAGAACTTGATGGCCTCTTCCCTGAAGATAGAAATAAAGCTAAATGGCTCACTGTTATAAGTTGTACTGAATATAGACCTCTAGTAGGAGTAGAGACGATCCCGCTGTCTCACGAAGAAGCAATCTCGAGGACAAAAGGTTATTGTGCTCTCGGTTAGTTAATTACTTTGATTTCATATGAATTTTCACTATTAGGAGCAGGGGGATTGGCACTACTGGGATCTGGCACGCTATACACTTGGCCAGAGAAAATCGAAGATCTTGAATTCTGCCTTACAAACGCTCAAAAAGTTGATCGGCGAAAATTTCTCGACGATAGCGCTCTTCGATTTACATACTGGGCCAATTATACAACTGCACTGGGAACAATGCTCCATGAACTGGGGCACTGCTTCGATCTGGATCACACTCCTCGCGGCATCATGAGACGTGGAGGAGATGATCTGAATCTCGTTTTGGCGTTTCCACCACCTATAAATGGATCACCATTATGTTTAAAAGGAGTCACAACTAATCTTCGTGGTTTGTCGATATTTAGATACAAGGAAGTCACTTTTTATGAAAACGCGCTAACTGATTGTCGAGATGCATCGGTTACTCGTTGGGGCAACTCAGCAACAATCGACGATGTCGGAGAAGCATTCTGGGGAACAGAAATCGCACAATTTCTATCAGTTCATAGATGGTTTGACGGATCAATAAGCAGTACATGTTCTTGCAAAACATCTTTTAATAAGTAAGTTCTACATTTCAAAGTTAATTATATTTAAGGGGTGTTCTATGTTCATCCTGTGGTGTACAAATAATCCAATTGCGGAATTATGGCAATACATGTTCCCCAAATAACGTAAAAGTCTGGAATTCTACAGCTTCAATCAAGCTCCCCTTAGATACTACGCTGCTACAAGGTTGTGTCATTTACCATAGAATTCTTCAAAGGCCGCAAAAACAAATTACGATTTCATCCATCTTAAAAAGAGCGTTTCGTCAGCTCAAAACTTCCAAAATCAAGGTTGTATCTGTAAATTTTCGAGGTGAAGTCTTTCAGGAAATAGTGAATAAAAATGAGTTTTAAGTAAATCCGACCTTTTCAGATAGAAAGCAAGGCAAAAAACTGGAAGATAAAGTCAGATAGTAATAGATTGAAACAAATCAACATCAACCAAGAATAGCTGAATGGGGTGCCTCGACCTTTTCTAGCTTCTCAAAATGTTTCTTGGCATTTCGGATATTCAGTAGAGTAGCGGATGAGCCTATATGAATGAGAGAGAGAGTGACGCATGAAATATTCAGACTAATCAGAATAGAAATGAACCGAGTTAGCATACCAATGGAGGGGTCTGACATAATCACCATGACATATGTGTTTGGTGTAAAACCGTCAATGAAGGCGGAGAAGTGCGCAGTTTGGAGTTCAATAGCCGTAAAATTTGCGCCGGATTTCGTACAAGAAAGTTTAAACTGCTTGATAATAGTGCTGATTTTGTCGAATCTATGGGGATCTGGGTGTTCTTTTGTCGTATGGCAAGCGATTTCGAGGAAAGTTGACCTCTCGAATAGAATAATTTCATCTGCCTCTAAGACCTCACACAGCTGGATGAGATTTTTCTCTAGAGCTTTGACATTTGGAACCATCTGGTAAACAATCTTTGACCAAGCTTTATAAAGCGTTTCGTCCCAAATTGATGTTCCGAAACAGACACAAGTGCCTGGACGAGTGGCAGAAATAAGTTGCTTTTCCCGTTCAGTAAAAACCTTTAAATGTAAAACATATTAATAAATAGGTTTAAACACACCACGGCCTGCTTGTGCTGAGGAACAAGATCCATCTTGTGAACTAGACAGAAAACTTTTGCTCCGGGAGAATGTTCGTTGATGGCATCAAGACAATTCCGGTAATAAACCAAATCTCTCTTTAAATCCTGACTTTCAACATCGAACACATAGATGAGGACCTCAACATTGCGGAAAATATTTTCCCTTTGTGTAGCAAAGTAGCTCTCCATGAACCCAGCCTGTCTAGTTTCAATGAAAAGAATAGAATAGACTGCTTACCCTCCACAATCCCATAGATTCAAAACTAATCCACCCAAAAATCTTAAATGAACATGCTCAACATCCACTGAAGAAAATCCGTTAACTGTTTATAGGCAAAAACCAACTTGTTGGGCCGAGTCGTCTGGTGTCTCTGGCGATGAAGTTAGAGAAGATTATACTTCTCATACTTGTTTTGCCGGAGCCTGACTTGCCCATCAATAAGACCTACCAACATTAAACCTGTAAATTATGTAACCTTCTTCCTCATATTTATGGGGCTGTAAAATTAATGAAGCCTAGGTAATTTAAATGTACGAATGCTAACTGGCTTATGTAAACAAGAATTCAAAAATCTCTTTGAGTATCTTAAAATAAATATATGCCATTTCTTTTATTTTCAAAATTTATAGTTTATAGATTCTAAATTACTTCGTTTTGATTATTTAATCTCTATTATTGATTTATGTTGTATTTTTGTAAAATCCTTTGTTTTCCTATTACCAACTCTGTCTGAAAAATAAAGCTGAGGAGTTATTTTTCATTCTCTTTTGATCACTATTGATTTTTAAGTTTTCATTTCAGAAGACATATGAAATGAGCACATTACTTTGCGCAAATAATTTTCAAAATGCTATAAAGGTTAAACTTTTGAAAGAACTTCAAAATATTAAAATAATCCTTGCGTTAAGCTTCAGCCTTTACCATTTTGTTAATTGTCTGCGATAACCTTTTTTTGTATATTGGCCAAAATTTTATCTAATCTAACTTATTTAGAATTACTCTTAAACTTGTGGTTCACGTCATATCATACACGCACGTCATGGTTTGGATTGGGCGGCTGTACACGTATAGCTCTGCTCAGATATTTAAGTATTAATGATTACCTAAACTATGCTAGATTTATTTGGTAACTAATCGTATTTACTTATATTAAAATTTGCAATAAACGTGTTCCGAGCTGTATGTCCGTTTCTTTTACCGATCGGAGTAGCTTAGCTAATTTTGGGAGGCTGACCGAAGAATAGTCAAGGCTTATTAAGGTAACTAATTCACTACAAACTTTCCCTGTAATTTCTTTTGCTTATCGAATTTCTCTTTTTAGTTTAATTCTCGATTATATTACATTAAAGCTTTTTATGTAGCCTTATCACTTAAGGACTAAAGCAGGAAAATTGAGTCCCAAGACGTTATTTCAATTTCTACCGTAAAAACGGCAATATTTTAGTATTTTTTGCATTGCCTATGTTGGCATTCCATTGAATTAATTGCAGAGTATTGAAATCACTCTTATTATTAGTATTCAAAATACTAATCGTTCTTCTATTACCATATAAAACTAAAGCTTTATGGTCACATATAACTACTTTTTAAAGCTTTAAGAAATTTTGGTTTACATCTTAATAATTGGCTGATTTCATTGAACTAATTCTAACTTTTATCAATTGTAAGTAAATAAATTAGCTATTCGAACATCATAAAATCGACGTGACTGAGTACTTTCGATAGATAATCGTCGAACTTATTTTATTAATATCGTTTAATACCAATCTAAACCATATTGTGAATCACTAATAACATGCATAGGTTGGTCTCCATCAAACAAATGCAGGAAATGTATTCGGCTTCTATGCTGTTAGATTGGTTAAATGATTGGCTAAACAAAAACTGCTCTAGTAATGCATTTAATGATTCCTATCTCCTCTGGGTCTGTATCAGGTAAGAATATGGTATTTCCCCCAAAACGATTCTTATGTCAAAGATTGCTCTAATCTTTTAATTTGCTTTTATTGGAGCCCATACACCTGTCAGTAGGAATACGTGCCTTGTGGTTTGGTAGTTTGGGCCGCTTTACATTGTTTGACTGTAGTGACAACCAGTACAATCTCTCAGGGAACATAAATTATTGTGTCAGATCTCAACACATTCTCACTTTATAGTAACCATCTCAGCCTTTCTTCTCAGTTACAAATTTTGCTTGTTACATACAATTCAGATTGCCTTCGATCGGTTTCAACGCCTTCATTTCTCTTAGAACTCTTCTCCTTATCACCCATTTCAACCCTTACGATATACATATAGCCCAAATTAACTTCTGATCTTCTCACTTGAGAAAGTTTTTGATGTTCAGTTAGCCCTTGGAACATGATGAAATTAAAAGGAAATTTCTTTTCCTAATTTGGTCAGGATTCTAAAGTATTCTGTCTACCACTCTGACATAATATTTGAAAGCATGAAACAAAGTGTTTCACTCTAACTAATTCGTAATGTATAGTATGTAGTGGCTAAACCCAGGTATGATAGTAAGTTGAAAAGCTACAATAGATTTTATCAGCAAGCACCGATAATACGTAGTTCATAATGTGAACCAGCAAACATTCGTACTGGTGAAGTTTACTTATAAATAAGGAGGTATTTAACCAACTTAGCGGATAGATAACGTCAATTCTTCATTTATTCCGATGATGGTCACAACCCTTTTATGATCCGCAGATTGGTAAAGGAGCAGTGTACTATAAACTCACACAAATTCGTGGTCAAAATAAATCGATTAAGAGGCCAAGAAAATTACCAGTTTAACACGGGCAATCGGCACTCATAAAGGTGCATATCTCCAGCTCAAGAGAATTCGAGAGAAAGAGTGGAATGGAAGGCTGCCGACTGTGCTGAAAATTACTTAAAAGGAAGCAATAGCCCTGAGAACAGGAACCCTCGTTCCTCTACTGTTCAATTTTCCATAAACGCAGACCATCATAACGCCAACATCAAAGTTTGCATCATCCTATTTGCAAGAAGTAAAAGCAAAAATCCCTAATTGAGTAGATCAAATTTCTCTACCATAGCTGCTTATTAGATATATAAAAGTGCCTAACATATATATATATATAAGGTAAGATGAGCAGGTACCACTTTTAACTTTTGACCACGAAATATTGATCGATTAACATCTTATGGGCTGATTTGCTTACACTTTAATTCGAAGTTCATTTACTGTTGGTTGGAAGTTTATATTAGAAGAAGAAAATAGTTTATTCTATCAAATCCATGCATGCCAATTTGGAGAATCTGGGAATTATTTCGCAAACTATGTCTTTATTAATCGTCAAAGACAGTTGAACATTTATGTAAATTACAAAGCGAAAAATTTGTGCCCCAACAATAGGTAGGATAATTGTGATGATGAAATAGGAAGTCATCTCTATCTGTTTACTTAATGTGACAATGATGGAGCCTCTTCTAATCACAGATTAGCCAATAAAGGCATTGCCTAAGTTCACCTGCTGTTTCAGTTCGAAAGTAAATTAGTTAATCGTAACTGGAATCTTCATTAATCGAAATTAACTTCACCAACTAAAACATCTCACGAAAGATAATTCATTCGTTCAAGGCATTTACTAACTATACATTTTGATTTATTTGCAAATAGTGTAAGGTTTTGTTTGAATTTAGTCAAACAATATTCTACCAGTCCTCTCGCCTCTGTTTTATTATGACCACATGATCTGCCAAATACCAAAAAAGTTTACCTGCTTACTTGACCTTGAGGGAAATAATATGAAATTGTTCCACCAATCAATAGGTATTGAATATGGAAGTGCGAAATGGTGGAATTTGATTTCCAGAACGTGAAATAAACATTAAGAAAGCCGCACACATACGCATCCAGAACCCAATAGGCAGCTAATCCAAGACTATTTGGTGTGCAATTTTAATTTAAATACCTTTCGATCCACTCCTCGTTAATGTTTATTACATCACCTGCAAACCGAATCCAGTTGTCTTAATGAAAAATGTACTATTTTTCATAATGACGCCGTCTAGAATAATGTCATTCTAATCAGCAACGTCATCAAATTAACCCTCGTATTAACCAGGGTAATAGTACATTGCGAGTGCAACCGGAAGACGAGGGTTTTGTGATTGTCGCGACGGCATTGTGGTCGGAAGGATGATATAAAACTTCGCATAATTACTCTTCATCCGTATGTGCGCAATAAGTCAAAATATCCCCCAACTTCATGAAGAGTATTGATTACTGTAATTTAAAAGGCTTCCAACTCTTGAAATTCACGTTGACCTTATACTAACCCTGAATTCGATTATTCCACTCGATGCACACAAATCCTTTGATATGTAATTTAAATCATCTCTCAACCCCAATGCCTTCAGAGCATGCCTATCTAAATGGTAGAGTGTATTTTCACAATAACATCTCCTGAAGGATACTCATTTTAGGGTCATTTTCTCAATTGTCTAGAGCGATTAGTAGAAAATTTTATCCTATAAGGAAGCACATTTACTTCCACCTATTAGTTTGA